CCATTTCACTCCACTTAATCAGTAAAAGGATAAAGGAAATCCAAACACAAATACACCAATATAGTGCAAAATATTTATCCTGATTTAATGATTAAACATGCTTTCGGAAAATAAAAAAGAATCTATGTATTTTTTCCAGATTTCGGCTGTATGCATAGGTGTACGTGCGTGCATGCACGCTACTATACATTCCTGTTAGGAGAAATTGCTTGTAGGTTCCTGGGCCGGGTGACATTTTGTTGTTGACAAAGGACCACCAAAGTGTATTTTTTGTCTTCCCTTGAAGGAATCGTGGATTTGCTTCAATCATGATATAGTTTGACAACTTTTACATAGAAGGCCAGTCCTGTGTCTTAATATTTTGACCCCCGTCACATTCTGTACATTTCCAAAATTGACCCCGCAAAATCAAGCCTCTTAGAAAATGTTACTCCTCAACCCCCCTCCGAAACCTTCCTTCCCGGGACGTAATAAACGATCGATCTCTAGAACTGAGTTGAGTCAAGGGTTTGACTGATAAGAATACTTACACCTGACAGGGGAATAAAGGCTTATACTCGGTTTAGATACCAATGATATTTTCATCGTCGTTGATATTTTATTATAGAAACTAAATATTGTTTTAATTTCTCACCTCTTAAATTCTCATCATCAAACTGAACTGTCTCCTTAGCAGATGATGTGACGTCACCTTCTTTTGCAGCTATGTTTGCACTTCTCTCCATGGCGGAATGCTTTAAGATTTATATCATTAGGTTATTCTGATGTTTGGAGCCAATTCATATTTATAGTACACTCCAGATATTATTAATCCTGCAGAGTTCTACCACATCAAATAATTATAAATCAGCTTGTCGTTACCCACACATATGACTTATTGCACATTTGTACTGAAAGCGTGGCTAAAGTAAATTAATATATCCATGTTCCGTACAGTCGGCTCCTTTCCCTCACGTGGGGAGGTTCGAACCCAAGGGAATACAGAGGGCACTCCAGCTTTCAAGTCATTTTTGCCAGCTAGTGTTTTTACTATATCACCCACGCTGAAATGAAGAGAGCATATACCTTTGTATGCTGGGTCACCTTGAAGTCTTTTCCCTCATCTCTTCTTTATCGCGAGGAGCTATTTCTTCTTCGTTTGAAGGTTATCGATGGGAAATTTAAAGAAGGACCTTTTCGTCCCATCCGTATTTCGGTAGCCTTTCTTTGG